ACACTGATGTTTCTCCCAATCTATCCTCAGCAGATATTAAAATATGGAATAAATATAATAATACCAACGGAAAAATTAATATCAAATCGGATGTAACAATTATTTCGGACATTTACCAAAACCACTATGTGATTGTGAACCTTCACCGGTGAAATTCGACATTCTTTTAATTTTGGTTATTCAAGGTAACATACTCAACGAAATGCTTTTGGGGAAAGTAAGAAACAGCAGTCTTGACTAGCTTATTTCTTAAAATATTCCAATTACTTTTCAAAAGTGAAACTGTTATACCGAAAGAAATAGCTTATTGAACCCTATCTGCAATGTAGAACAAGTCGGTATACACAAGAAAGCTTTATAAATTTCATACTTAGGTTTATTTATTATTATTTGTTTTGGTATTTTGGAGGAAATTTCTAACAAATAATTTCATAATTCGATGACCAGTTTTTGACGATCAATACAATAACACGGTAAAAATTACCGATTTTCAAACTTAGCTAGTTATATTATAAAATTAATATTATTAATAATAATTCGTAATATAATTATTTCACACCCACTAAGCAACATTAATGGATTTCAATAAGGTGAGTATTCCCAGCATGCATTCTGAATAGCATTACCATGGCTTCTATTACGTCTCCAGCATATATCTTTGATATATACGGAATGGTTGTAATTAAATTGGCAGTGATTGAAATCTATAATTGGAATTATATTCAGCCAATCACAAACGCATATAGCTGCGTCGTAGGTGGCACCACATATAAATTAAAAGTTCATCGATATTATTTATTTTGTAAGAAAAAATTTGAATTAAAAATCATCCTTAAATCTGTTATAAAAAATGCTCCATGCTCCATACATTATTGCGATATAACTCACAGGAATGTCTTTATCAAAAGTTATGTATTTTCAAGTGATAGAGTTGATTTTAGTTAAAGTTAAAGTTTTCGAGTTGATTTGATTGATATATATGTTACAAATGAAATGTATCAATCCTTCGGATAATATTGTAAAAGATAACACTTGCTATATTATGGTATTCTTCATTTATCTTTCTCGACAATGGTGGATACAATGATGGATATGTTATTCCTTAACCACCATAGTTGATAATACTCATAAGATTATCATATTTATTGTTTATTGCTGTCGAAAACCTTTACGTTATTATCATTGTCAATAATTGTCATATAATTCATATTTTTCGTACGGCATGGTATTCAATACGAATTTTGAAATTTCATTATCATGAATGTTTAAAAGATATCGATATTTTACGATATAATACTAAATTAAAGTAAATCGTGTCAAATTTAGGTGTTTTTTGTTTTAGTTCAATTTTATTCGAAAGCTATTCTAATATGCTTTTTAATTATTTTTTTCTTTTCAGAATTTAGTCTATGAAGCTTGGTATTTCGTTTGAATGAAACTGTATTAATTTTAACCGAAAAAAAGTATGAAAAGTATAAACTGCGAAAATTTTAATTAAAACTGTAATAATAATAATTAGATTTATTTATTTACTTAGTTTTACTCATTCATTTTTTTATAACCAGCTTTGAACTGCCGGCATAATTCTGACTATCAATGTTTAACCCCGTAGCTTTTTCATTTTCAACTGAGTCCAGAATATTTTTGTAATTTGTACTGAATCCAGAAACTTAGTCCAAAATCCAGAAATAATCGATGAAACCAACGCACATTTTCGTTACACGGAAAGGATCGTTAAATCGTTACACGGAAAACCTCCTATGATTAGCCCAACGGCAAGGGGAGATTATAACCCATGATCCGTATAAGGATATGGATCCTCGAAGATAATTTCATGACAGAACTGGGGTTGGTGTGTTACTGGAGCAGAATTCGTATCGACCAGCCAACTCTAGGATTCGAACCTTAGCTATCTCATATAAGAGCGAGCACTCTTTCTCCAGAGCCACCGTGGCTCAATAGTTAGATTTAGACCAAAGCGCTTTTGTAAGAATGGCCCAGCTTTTTTATGTTCCCATGAGCCACAAACACGGCAAACTTTACCATATTATGGTAGTTTTGATCATAATTTTTTTCAGTCCTAATTTTTCTTTACGACAATATATAGTTTAAAATTATAGATTTGCATCAGAGGTAAAAACTTGAGCTGTGACTTTTTTTAAATTTTCCATTGTAAAAGAGCTTTGAAAATATATTTTATTAGAGTAAAACAAGATCAGTATTTTTTTTATATTCCATTTGTTTAAAAATGCAAACAAATGGAATTCATGCTGTGATTTTTCATTTTTAGAATTATACTTTTTTTGAAAACTGTTTCAAAGTTCTCTTCTTATTACTTTTCTTCTTATACCTAGTTGTTATAATATTTTTGCAACAAAAAATGTTTGAAATTTTCCTTTTTGAGTTTTTATGCTTCGAAAAATATTGAAAGAAAATCTAACAAGAAAATTAAGCACTTAATTACAAATACTGAAATGTATCGCAAAAAATATCTGTGACAACGATGGACGTAAAATCAAAACTCTCCTATAGGCATCAATTAAAATCTAAAAACAAATAAAAATATAATTCAAATTTCTATAGAAGACTTCATATTATGGTGTTTTACCAAAAACTATTTGAGTTTTTAAAGTCTTTTTAAATGGATTTTGTGAAATAAAAATCTTAAAATTCTAAAGGCAGTTTCATTTAATTTTCTAAAGCTCTGTTTTTTTTTCTTCATGTTATTCGTTGTCTGCTTTATTCAATATCTTTCCATTACAAAGCGAGTTTTATTTCTTTATATTTACATTTATTTCTACTTAGTTATTTCTGTTTAGTTTTTTTAAACGAAAAAATTACAAGTCAGAGAGTTGCTGCATTCATCTGCTAATTACGTTCTTTTTTTTAAAAAAAAAATATTATTTCAATGGATGTTTCGAATTCAATAGAAGTAAAATGTTTGTTTTTCAAAAGTTCTAATTTAAAATTTAATGAAATAAAACTAGGGGAATGACTGGATTAGCTTCTTTCAGTCCAAATTGAAACTCCATTTTATTAATAAAAATTTCTGCAACTTGAAAATAAGATGTCAATTATCGAAATAATCATGACTCTTAAAAATATATACTATTTTGTATTTAAGTCAGCATCAGATAAAATTTATGGAAATTGTGCAATAAGTTTCAAGTAAATCTTTTGATTTTGTAATTGCAATTGTTACATAGTTATCTATTTCTAATTATTACATTCGTGGCGCAAAATCTGGTTTTTAATTAAATATTATATGTCCTGTTTGATTTTTTAATTAATTAAATGCGTTTTTTAATAAATAAAGGAGTCTTATATTATTTATTTCTGTAGAATTAGGACATCGGAAGACAATATTTCCAATTTTTTTAAGTGTATTAAGAGATTCGATCTCCTATTTGCTCAGCTCACCAACCCCTGAGGTTGCCTCTCATTCATCAGTGTTTTTCTTAAAGTTCTATAAACAAAGATAATTTTGTTTATAAAATATACTGAATTATTATAAATTTCTGCAAGCATATTTTGCTTATATTTTAATTGTAATGAAATGATAGGATACTTGGATTTGAAAAATTATCAATTATACTTAAAAACACAACATTAAACTTAGGAATACAATGTGTGGTCAAAAGTAAAAAGTACTAGATGATATTTCTTGTTAACAACGATAACTTATAACAAATAACAGTTCATATTGGAAATGATTTTTTATCTTTCTTCTATCTTTATATTATCGAAAGCATACTAACAAGGAACAATGAAACAACAGGACGTAATACATCAGTTCACATTGGAAACAATTTTTATCTCTCTCCAGTCATCTTTAAAACATAATAACGGCGAACAATAAAACAATAAATTATAATATAACAGTTCACATTAGAAACAATTTTTATTTCTTCAGTCTTTATATTCTTTAAAATTTCGAAAAAAATATGTAAGATTTGCCATGACATTGTTTATAATGCTAAGATTTATATTTTATTTTCATTTAATAATTTGCTTATTATTTTTGATATCTAGCCAAGCGTTAGCTTCACTAATTCTTATAGTTTCTGCGAGGTTAACTAAAATGTAATCTAAAATAAAGAATTTCCTATTATACCAGCCCAAGCAAATGTCAAACTGCGCCAAGGTTGCATAAATTATTGGTTTACTGAATCAGCTCTTGAAATAAAAAAAATATTTTGAATTTAAATTTTTTTTGCAAAGTTTTCTCCCAGAAATACTTGTAAGCAAGAAACCTGATGTTTCATCAATTGTTAGCAGATAAAAACTTGAATTGTTTTTAAAGTTAATTATTTCACAAATTATATGGCCATTTAACATTTATTTTAAGCGTAGTTCGTAGAAACTTTGAATTGTTAAAAGTAATTTTCGAAGCGATAGAAAGTTATCTTTATAATCCTTATAATTCTGAGTTCACTGTTGCTCGCACATCGTAACTTTATGAATTAAGTTTAGAAATTGAAACTCTAACGTACACGTAACTGGCTAGAAATATGGTGCAGGCTACCCAAGAAAGGATTACACTGTAAAATCCGGATCAAATTACGGTTTAAAGTACTGGCACTTTGAATGCCTCATCTGAAAAATTCTTTTTAATAGTAAAATACTGCAGCATAATTTTTACAGTAATATTTATTTAATTAGAATGATTCAATGATTTGACGATAATTATTACTGTAAAATTTACGATATATAAGATATTTTATTTCGTAACATGTTCAGCTAAAAATGGTTTTTACAGTAATAATTCTGGCACCCTGAGTGCCGATACTTTTTACCGTAATTTGACCCGAATTTTTCGCAGCGTACTGCTTATTTATTCTTAATTTCTACTTAAATAATATTTCTCTGAAGATAAAACATTTTGTTCGTATTATTGTTTAAAATTTTCAAAAGAAATAAGAAAGACATATGAAAACATATGACAAACATATGAAACAATGTGCAAAAACATATGAAAAAAAACCTTTTAATTTGTATACCTTGCGAACAATCACTTCCAATCCATTGCTCATCACAGGCGCATTTCTGTTGTTCCAAATCGAATTGTCCGTGTCCTGAGCAATCTGGTAAGCATCGAAGGGCGTCTGTGTCAGGATCGCTGCAATCATTTCCTTTCCATCCTTTTCGACAAACACACAATCCGGACACACATATTCCATGATCAGAGCATTCCGGATCTAGACAATCCACTATATTTACAGAAAAATAAAATATCAGAAAGTGAAAAGAGTTTTTTAGTAGTAAATCAAAAAGTAAGTATTTAAAAGTAAATCTTTCGACTATAAATTGTTACTTAAGACCAAACTTTCTTTATAGATTAGCACAAGAGATGTTTAGTAATTTTTATTAGCTCTTAATTATACACTATTTTTCTGAAAATATAAGCAGTCCACTATATTTACAAGAAAGAAAATACATAAAAAAAGGAAAAATGCTTTTTAGTAGTAAATAAAAAAGTAAATACTTAAATTTTTCCCTATAAATTATTACTAATAACAAAACTTTTTCTATAGACTAGCAGCAGAAATGTAATTTTTATAAATTTTTTATATTCGGAATGGATATTACACTCTGTTTTCAAGAATCTGTACAATCCACTGCATTTACAGAAAAATAGAATATCAGAAAGTAAAAAGAGTTCTTATTATAAGTAAGTATTTAAAAGTAGTTTTTTCCCTTTAAATTATTACTTAAAACAAAACTTTCGCTATAGATTAGCACAAGAGAGGTTTAGTAATTTTGATAATCTCTTTATTATACGTCATTTTTCTAACAATAAAGACAATCCACTATATTTCAAAAAATAACGTTTTACAAAATAAATAAACTTTTTCAGTAATGAATTAAAAAGTAAATACTTAAATTTATCCCTATAAATTATTACTAATAACAAAACTTTTTCTATCGACTGTCACCAGAGATGTAATTTTTATAAATTCTTTATATGCTGAATGGATATTACACTCTGTCTTCAAAAAAATAACTAATTAGTAAAGATAAAAAGTGCTGTCGTATAAATTAAGAAAGTTGAGAAATAATTATCTCAAAGATTTTTATTATTCTTTATTGACACTAGATACATCTATAGAGAATTGCTTAAACTTCCTGTTAAATAACTTAGTAACATAAAAAGAGCTGTATCAGATCTTAAAAAAGTACATAAGTAATTCATTTCTTTACAAAGTATTAATCATAGAAGTTATTATTTTATAGATTAACAATATATAATTTTATTGTTATTTATTGACGCTTAATATATCTCTGGTCAACTCAATAATTTTTCTGAGGAATAACTCATTAAACAAAAGAAAAAGTGCTGTAATAGACTTCTAAAAATTACTTACGTCGCATATTTTATATTTTACCGTAAATTATGAGTCATAACTCATGCTCATATGTTTTTATACTGTCCATGCACATATGCCTTCTTTTTGTAAGCCTGTTAAGCTCTTTTATTTTGCCTATGATTTTTTGAGTGATCCATAGCCGATCATAGAGGATAAAGAAATTTTTGCTGTTAACGATTCCTGCTGTGAGTAAAAAGGTGCAGCATACGACCAAACGAGTATGTATTTTTTAACTTTTTTCATACATCTGTTTCCTAACTAATTAATCATTTTACTGACAATTAAGTGGACTCTAGATCGAGCATATCCTGCACGGGTAGTATTTTGTTACCTCATCTTCTTATGAGCGTTTTTCGACTGATTTGCTTTTTTTACAAAAAGTGATTCGCGCTATCACAGGTTTCCGTGAAAGGATCACAAGAGTTAAAACATTACAATCTAAGCAGTAATGGTTTTAGAGTCTTGTAATTGCGTTTATATCCAATCAACAATCCATTATATATTTGATATTTCGTTTATTTTTATGAAACTATCTAAGCAAATTGACAGTGAAAAATCTTTATTTAAAAAAAAAAATAGTAATAGATTGTTTTCACCTTGAAAAAAAAGTTAGTATTTATTAAAAATTGCACTAGTATTTGTTGTTGTTAATTTACGTCGCACTGGAGCTGCACAATGGGCTATTGGCGACGGTCTGGGAAACATCCCGGAGGATGATCCGAAGACATGCCATCACAATTTTGATCCTCTGCGGAGGGGATGGCACCCCCGCTTCGGTAGCCCGACGACCTGCGCGCGAAGTCGAGCACTTTACGGTAGCACAGTTTAACGAGGACCAATACCGCACACCCTCGGTCCCTACGCAGACTGATCCAAGTGGTCACACACCCGCACACTGACCGTAGCCAGTGATGCTTGCCTACGGTGATCTGCTGGGAACCGTGTTTTAGCGATCAGTCCACTGCGGGACCACTAGTATTTCATCATTGGACTTTTCAAATAAATTTTTGGAAAATTACAATGAAGTAATGTGTTTCTCTAATATTAATTATAAATGTTTTTAACAGTTTATAGTTGAGTGAATTAAAATGACTGACGCAAAACCTAATTTTAATTCATAAAATGATAAAAAAGTCAACATTGATATTTTAAAAATGATTAACTGCGTTGCTTTGGTTAATATGTTTACAATTGCTTATAAACTTAATTAAGTCGAAGTTTCTCAAAAGAAAGTCGATCATTTAGGTCTCTCTAATCGGGAAAAAAGGGAATCACTGATTTGGCTGTTTTTTTCATGACCTTGTCTTGTATAAGGTCATACTATAAAAACAGTTATTGCAAAAAAAAAAACAACTTATATTTCTTTTAATGAGAATTTATTATAAAAGCTATGAAGCAGTACAAAAAGAAATGCTATATTCTTTTCATATAACTAATACAATTGATCACGCCGAACATTCTCGAAGAAAAACAACTGTGGTATTTAGGGTTTTCCTTTAATTTCCGATCTTTAGAAAAACATATTTGTTTCTTTTTCTCTCCAAGTTTTTTCGATCTTTTTCTTACGAAAACATATCTCTGTCTGGTTTTTCAGCTGATATGACAGGAACAAAAAGAAGAAGAAGAAAAAAAAAAGAAAATTTCTTGACCGTGTTTCTACTACGATACTTCCAAAGTAACTGTTTCTAGTGTTATTTATATGCAGCTCCCAACGTATCACATAATACTGCCGACTTCTGCCAACATTTCGAGGTTGCTTTGTTGAAGTCTGGAGCGCTTGTAGCCATACATTATGCGCATATAAACAACTCGTATCAGATACATTTATTCAATGACATCAACATGTGAGTATCTAACAACGTAAGAGTTTACTTTAGCTGTTCTTTCTGTGTGCGCATTAAATTACGGTGACACAAATATTGTTTTTTATTTCTTTGGGTATAAATGTACGATAGCGATTTTTTTGTTGTCTTGGACTTTGGGTTTGATAAGTAACTTTAGATTTGTATAAGTTATTATATTAGATATTTTGTATGCAACATATAGTTTCTTTTTATTGGATCCATATAATAGGCTGAAATAAGAAATACAAAATATGTGAAATGTTAGGAAATATAACTGAAAATTTTTCTACATGGAGAGACGAGAATGAACCGAAATTTTATTTAATTATCTATAAAAAAATATTGATTCAAAAACATTAATTAAAATCCACGAAAAATTGGTCTTAGACGCGTACAATAAAGAAAAAAATAATGAAAAACACATTGTATATTAAATAACTTTTTACATCCTTTTTAATTCTTGAAAAAAATTTGTCCTGAACGACAATTCTTCGGGAAATCAATGCACATCTAGAAAAACATAATATAAGTTTCAAAGCTGTTAATTTTTTTTAAATCAGGCTTACTCTGATCATACAAATGAATGTTCCTTGATAGTAATTTTTTTAATATTAATGTATTAAAAATACTAAAGAAAAAATTGAAAGATAATTATCAACTGTCACCAATTAACTATTCTCATACAGATTTCATCACATATTTACTGATGATTAGATTTTTAACTTAATCATTAAATAATTTTAAATTATGCAACCACTATGACTTTTTCAAATGCTATTTTTGATAAACCATAAATAGTTAGTTAAATTTATTTGTGATTTTATTAAAAATTTAAAAACAACTAAAGAAAATATTGTTACAGATATTAAATTTGCATGCATTGAATTTATTTTATTCCGTGAAATATTTCCAGTTTCCAAATGAATTAAAAGGAAATGTAAAATGCAAACAAAAATATTTTACATCTTTATTATCAAACTGATTAAATAAACAATAGCAAGTAAAAACATATTTTCAAATCCATAACAAAGCTAATAATATGTGTTTAATAAATATAAAAACAATATTTTTCGTTACAATTTGTTACCTGACACGTTCCTTAACAGTAAATATAGTTTTTATATTTATTTTAAATTTTTTTCACTCTCTTTATTCTCTTATTACTCTGTTTACAGATTCTAGTAAAAATTATTAATGAAATAAGTATATTTAACTTAATTAGAGGGGAGAACATCTTAATCTTTTTCAAAGGAAAAAGTGAATATTTAAACAAAAATCAATAACTCTACTTATCTAATGCGTTGAAAAATTCTAAAGCTGCCAATGAAAATACGTGGAACTGTTCCAAAAAAAGTGAAAAATGCTAAAAAATAATATTATCTTTCTGAAAAGAAAACTGTCCTCTGGCAAGACAAACTAAAAATGGCGTTTTAGTTTGCTAAGTAGGCCATTTTTCTTACATGCAAGAAATTCTTAAAACAAAATAAAACTTTCTCTTTTTATTTGAAGTCTTAATATAAACTACACATCCGTCTTTTGAAATAACCGGATGTCGTTTGAATGAAAGCTAATATTTGAGTACTTCATTTTTTATACGTAATAAAACCCAATGAAGGGTACTCAATTTTAAATATTAATCTTCATTCTTAATCATATGAAATATACTCTTCAATTAATCATATGATTTTTTACAGATCATTTCATAAAGCACTTTGACTTCGAAAAAAAAATCGATTAATTTCATGATAGCGTGCCGCGTCATTCTTCTCTCATAACCATTAAGTCATGATTTGCCATTATTTCGAAAGATGCAGAGCCCGGGTAATATCTCATTTCCTCTCTGCACGATACTCTTACATCATTTTCTAATTACGTTTAAGACATTTGCTTTTAATTTATATCCGTCGTTGAACAACCACCCCAATTTTGAATTTACGATTATCAATGTTCAACTCCGTAGCCTTGTAATTTTGAACACAATCCAGAAGACAAGGGAACTGCTGGGTCAAGTATTGGGATAAATTTACCTTTGTGGAGGACTTTTTGATGAAACTAACCCGCATTTGATTTACACGGAGAGGAAAACCTCTCGCGGTTAGAATGACGGCAACCCACGATCCATCTATCACTAGGGATATTTTACGTCAACACTGTGAACGGTGCAAGCAGGTTACGGAATTCGTATCAATCAGCGATTCAGGATTCGAACCTTAGTTATCTCATTGGGAGGTAAGTACTCTATCCACTGAGTCATCACGGCTCAATTTTAAGACATTCAACATAACAAACTTTAACGTTTCCGGTGAAAAGAGTAAAACAATTAAATCACCTGCTTCACAGTGATATCCTTTATATCCTGGAAAACATCTGCATGCCCCTTCTATGCACTCGCCATGTCCATTACAGTCCAGTTTCTCGCATTCATATTCTCGAAGTTGGCACTCCTTACCTTTCCAACCAGGGCTACAGACGCACTCACCACCTATATATTCACCTCGGTTGCTGCACAGGACAGGACAGATGCCTAATTTACAAGAAAAAATAATAATCTAAAAAATACTCATTAAAGATGATGAGATTTGAAGAGAATTAATGTATCAAAAAGCATGCACATATTAATGTATCGATCGACATAGTTTACATTAGTTGTTATCTTTATTTATAATAAAATATGTATATAAATTTATATATAATAAAATATATCGGGTTGTGAGGAAATGTGAAAAATGAAACTTCTAAAATTGAGTTAAATTCCGATTTGAATATTTGAATGTATGCATCTTGGAGTCTGACTTTAAAATTGAATTATGTTCCTAAATTGAAATATGCTTCTTTCATTTATTCCTTAATTTTTGATTACTATTTCTTTCAATGCATCTCTAAACGTATCTGACATGATTTTTTTAGGTTCAGCTTAGTAAATGAAGATTGTAATTCAATGGTTTGAGTCCTTTTTAAATTTTTTTTTCTCGTATTGTTGCTTGCAATATCTGGAATCAATCATTATTCCCCATTTTTAGAAACACAGACAGACAGAGAGAGAGAGAGAGCACGGATTGAGAGGATGGCTGGAGTCACCGAAGGAAGATTTAACAGACAAATAAAAGTCTGCAACAGCCTCACTTTTGATACTTTTTCGTGGCAACAACACGAAAATGAGTCATATCCGAAAGTGCCATATAAAATACTTAAGACGATATCATCTGCAAAAATTTGCTTTTCCAACACGACTGTTATTGATTGCAGTTCAGTCAACAAGAATTAATTTTTGAATGCTATGTTTTAAATAATATTGACATGATTTATAAAGTATTCAATTTCTCCTTTAACTACCATAATACATCACAGTTTCAGTTTCCTTGATTTACAAACCACTTACATGAGCGATAGAGTTTGCAACATCATCTTTTGTCATGCAAATCCAGTGTTTTTTTTTATCGTTATATTCTGCAATACGTATTCACCATGCACAGCTACAAGTTTTTGATTCTGAGTTACATATTAGCCAAAGCGAAAACGCGTATGATATCGATGTGACGAGAAACAACAACTTAGCATGGAATGATATGTGAAATATACTCAATTGCATTTACGAAATATTTGTCTATGCGAAAATCAATTCCAAAAAAATTTGAAAAATACGTTCTCTTTCATTAGATATGTTAGCTTTAAGTACTGAATAAATTTTTTTAACAAAGCAGAAACGTTTCAAGTGATTTATGAATTGTATTTTACTTTAAAAAAGTTAGTTTAAAAAAGTTTCTTTAAAACACAAAATGCATTCAAAACATATTAAAATGATGCGTTTAAGAATATTGTATTTATGCATACTTGTGGTTGGATTTTTAAGAAAGGAATAAATTAAAAACTTATGAAAAGAATGGATAGCAAGAGTATAAAAGAAAATTAGGAAATTTTCTTCCCATTTATCAAAACGTTTTTTAGAAACTTGCTTTATAGAAAAATTCCAAAGTTGAGCATTGGATCTCAGTGGAATAACTTTAAATACCCAACATTGAGTACTTTTATCTTTTCTTAAGACTCATCAAGATAAATAATCAAATAACTATCATTTTACTTTTTTTTCAAATATATTTCGATTAAAAACTAATTAAATGAATATTTTTCTTTTCAAAACTGAATAAAAAACATAGAATAAAAACACCGACGAAAAGAATACTTTAAAATCTTAGGATTCTTCGAAAATCTTGACAGTTTCAGTTTATTGAAGAGAATCAAATTTTGAATTTATAAGAAGTAATTTGTTTTCAAATTGTTTTAAGCTTCGGGAAAATGAATCTTTTTAATTAATAATTTTTAGTAATATATTATTATGTATATTTATCTTTTCTTAACTCTCACAATTATGAATAAATTGCCAAATAACTATCATTTCAATATTTTTTTCAGATATATTTCGATTAAAAACTAATTAAATGAATATTTTTTTTCAAAACTGAATGAAAAAAACATAGAAATGAAACAACGACGAAAGCAATACTTTCAAATCTTAGGATTTTTTGAAAATCTTGACAGCTTCAGTTTATTGAAGAGAATCAAATTTCGAATTCAGGAGAGGCAAGTTGTTTTCAAATTGTTTTCTCAGTTACACTCAGCTTTTCGCGTGAAAAAAAAAAGTTTCTGCGATATCAGATCTGTCAATCTTTCAAAAGCTGAATAGAAAATGGATGTCCGTTCAATTTATCACGGGGAAGTATTTATGCCTTGTAATATTTCATAGAAATGATTCATCTTGCTCAAGGCAAGTCACAGTTATCAACATTGAATAATACTGTCTGTGGATTTGATTTAGTTGAATTATTTGTGCCCTGCACTGGCAACTGCTATGGAAGTTTTGATATATATACGATCATCGGGTATCATTTTTGGTAATAAATGATTCAAAAATACTATTTATATTCAAATCATTTTCTTACAATTGCACTAATCCAATGCAGAATAACATTAAATGTTTAAAGTATGAATTTTTTTTTCTATGTATGAAGACCTGTATTAATTAATGTAAGTAAATGCCTGAAATACATCCAAAGAGATCTAATTGAAAATTTATAAATGTTTTGAATAAATAATACAGTCTAAGATTTTGATTTAGTTGAAATTTTTCTGCTCTGAACTAAAAGCTTTATAGAACTTTTAATACAATCTATCGTCGGGAGTTTTTTTTTTCTTGTTGGTATTAACTTACTCTAAAATAATTTTTATTTTCAAAATATTCTATAATAGTTAAAATGATCTTAGACAAAGTGGTATTAAATGATTAAAGATTCCTGTTTTTATAGATTGAAACCATTTTATATAAACTGATATAAATTAAATAGTAAATGTCAGGTCATACACCGATAAAGATAAGAAATGTAAATTACATAAAAATTTTGAGTGAGCAATATAGTCTCAGCATTTGATTTAGTTGAATTGGTGATTTAGGGCGATTTCAATTGTTATTTTTCTAATTGTACTTTTAGGAATTAATATGTGTTCATACATAAGAATTAATATGTCTTGGATTTTGCGGTATTTAGCGATGTATCGCTAATACTCGACCAACAAAAAACCAGTTAATTTTTGCTTTCGATGCTAATGTCGCCATTTCCAAAAAATTTTAAACTTTTCAGAAGTACAAGGTAATTTTGATAGTAAATGAACCTAAAATACTATTTATATTAAAATTATTGGTTAATTTTATCAGGATTCTACCCTTAAATAGAGTTAGATGAAATGTGTGTACTCTGTGGGGATGGTAGCTATCGACAATGTCAACCTATGAAAACGTACCCCACTTCATCTATGAAAAGATACCCCACCATAGAATCGAGTTAACATGTCGTATATACTAGTGAATAGGTATTATATTTTTGTAGTGGTAGATACTGAGATACCGAAACTGAGTAGCAACAGCATGAGGAGGTGGATAATATCGCAGTCACAAGTAGCAAGTCAACTGTTCAATGTGGACCATCCATCGAAGTAGGCGTGTTCAGTTCGAAGTGGGCGTTACTGTCAATAAAAGCGTGTTCAGATCGAAGTGAGAGTTTCTGATAAGGTAGGCATGCTCACATCACGTTCGAAGGTCACCAATGTGGGGAGTGAGCTGTTATCGACAATGTCAACACTCATCTGAGAAAAGGTACCCCACCATGGAATCGAGTTAACATGTCTTATATACTAGAGAATTGGTATTATATGTTTGTAGTGATAGATACTCTACAACTCTAAAAAAATCTTACAAATGGAAATCTATGCATACAACTAAATAGTATAAATAAGTAACTAATGATAAAGACTTAGCAACTAAATGTATTTATTTATTTTTTGTTTTAAAACAAACTTGATATTTAAAAAATCATTTCTTTTTATAACGAGCTCTAACGAAATACCTTATAACGAACTCTAACGAAGAGGTATAAAGTAGAGAGGACTGTTTTTACTTACGGTATGCACATGAATCTCCTGCAAAATCAGGACTACAAACGCAGTTTCCCATAACACATCTGCCATGACCATGACAATCATATGGACAAGTTAAACTGGATTCATCTGAAATGAAACAATGTTTACGCGATGAAGATAAGAGACAGAAAAATAAGTGAAAGAAAAATCTTGTTATTATAGTGTAAATATAATAATAATGAAAGTATACACTTTTATAGACTGAATAGTTTTTACCTTTTTTTCTGCCACTATCTAAAATTAAAAAAAAAATATTTTATTACTTCTGTTTAACTTTATGAACCCATTTTGAGTGTTCTTAGCTACGCTTTGGTGGATGAAAGGAAGTCAAAGTAGTAGTTTTTCATTTTTGAAACAAACTACAATATTATTTAAAAAAATAGTAAAAGAAATATAGCCTCAACAGTCAGTTGTCCTTCAAGGGGAGAATGAAGGCTCCAGAAATTTAAGTTCAAAGGTATTATGGTGACAATATGGTTATCATTGCTCATCAGCCACTTTATGCACCAATCAGGAGCTGAGTATGATTCCTGTCACCACCGGGGATCTAATCCCGTTTCTTTACAACATCAGCATAGAGTCTTAACCAGTTTACCAGTGCAACACTTTAATATTATTTATTAATAAATATCACAATACTTACCAGTGCTTTGCGTTATAAATGCAATANTTTTTTTTTTTTTTTTTTTTTTTTTTTTTTTTTTTTTTTTTTTTTTTTTTTTTTTTTTTTGGCATTAACTTACTCTAAAATACTTTTTATTTTCAAAATGTTCTATAATAGTTAAAATGACTTTATACAAAGTGAGATTAAATTATTAAAGATTCCTTTTTTACAGATGAAAACCATTTTATACAAACTGATATAAATTAAATAGTAAATGTCATGCTACACATCGATAAAGATAAGAAATTTAAATTACATAAAAATTTTGAGTGAGCAATATACTCGTAGTCTCAGCATTTGATTTAGTTGAATTATTTGAGCCTGACATTGGTGATTTAGGGGCTATTTCAATTGTTATTTTTCTAAATGTACTTTTATGAATTACTATGTTTTTCATACATATGAATTAATATGTTTTGGATTTTGTGGTATTTAGCGATGTATCGCTAATACTCGACCAACTAAAAAGCTGTTAATTTTTGTTGGCGATGCTAATGTTGCGATGCATCAAAACATTTCAGACTTTTCAGAAGTACAAGGTAATTTTAATAGTAAATGAAACTAAAATACTATTTATATTGAAATTATTGGCTAATTTTATCAGGATTCTACCTTTAAATAGAGTTAGATGAAATGTGTGTACTCTGTGGGGATGGTAGCTATCGACAAAGTCAACCTATGAAAACGTACCCCACTTCATCTATGAAAAGATACCCCACCATAGAATTGAGTTAACATGTCGTATATACTAGTGAATAGGTATTATATTTTTGTAGTGGTAGATACTCTACTGTACTCCCCCAACAGAATTATAGCAGTGATAGAATTCGATGAATGGATACCACTAGTTGATTCATTGCAGTTTTGTGAGAAGCCGAGAGAGCTGTATTAAGATCACCATACTTTTGGGTGCTGATCGTGAGAGCTGTATTAAGTTCACGGTCGTGGTTACTCCTGTGTTGACTTTTAGCAGGTCGAGTGTATACGTTGTACGTTATATGTGATCGAAACTGAGTAGCAACAGCATGAGGAGGTGGATAATATCGCAGTTACAAGTAGCAAGTCAACTGTTCAATGCGGACCACCCATCGAAGTAGGCGTGTTCAGTTCGAAGTGGGCGTTACTGTCAATAAAAGCGTGTTCAGATCGAAGTGAGAGTTTCTGATAAGTTTGGCATGCTCACATCACGTTCGAAGGTCACCAATGTGGGGAGTGAGTTGTTCTCGACTTTTGTAGTGATAGATATCTACAACTCTAAAAAAATCTTACAAAAGGAAATCTATGCATACAACTAAATAGTATAAATAAGTAACTAATGATAAAGACTTAGCAACTAAATGTATTTATTCATTTTTTGTTTTAAAACAAACTTGATATTTAAAAAATCATTTCATTTTATAACGAGCTCTAACGAAATACCTTATAACGAACTCTAACGAAGAGGTATAAAGTAGAGAGTACTGTTTTTACTTACGGTATGCACATGAATCTCCTGCAAAATCAGGACTACAAACGCAGTTTCCCATAACACATCTGCCATGACCATGACAATCATATGGACAAGTTAAACTGGATTCATCTGAAATGAAACAATGTTTACGCGATGAAGATAAGAGACAGAAAAATAAGTGAAAGAAAAATCTTGTTATTATAGTGTAAATATAATAATAATGAAAGTATACACTTTTATAGACTGAATAGTTTTTACCTTTTTTTCTGCCACTATCTAAAATTAAAAAAAAAATATTTTATTACTTCTGTTTAACTTTATGAACCCATTTTGAGTGTTCTTAGCTACGCTTTGGTGGATGAAAGGAAGTCAAAGTAGTAGTTTTTCATTTTTGAAACAAACTACAATATTATTTAAAAAAATAGTAAAAGAAATATAGCCTCAACAGTCAGTTGTCCTTCAAGGGGAGAATGAAGGCTCCAGAAATTTAAGTTCAAAGGTATTATGGTGACAATATGGTTATCATTGCTCATCAGCCACTTTATGCACCAATCAGGAGCTGAGTATGATTCCTGTCACCACCGGGGATCTAATCCCGTTTCTTTACAACATCAGCATAGAGTCTTAACCAGTTTACCAGTGCAACACTTTAATATTATTTATTAATAAATATCACAATACTTACCAGTGCTTTGCGTTATAAATGCAATATCCATCATAAGGTCTCCATCATTATAAGCGGAAATGTACCAGAGTCCTCTTTCTAGATATTGAATGAATTCTACACTGTACAATTTCTAAATGAAAAAAATATGCATTTTAAAAAATGGCTCATAACACCAAATGTACTAAAAGAGAAAATAATCAAAAGCATTAAATGCAAATTTTTGTAATAAAACTACGTTATATCTGACTTAAGCAAATTGGAAAATTCGGATTTTTCCTAAGCAGCACTCATTGGATAATTGAAAAAGTCTCCATACACTTTTCAAATAGCCTAAAAATGTTTGGGCTCATTGCAATCATCTTAGAGCACAATGTAAAAAATACTAGATCAAATTACGGTACAAAGCATCGGTACTCAGGAAACCGGTACTTTTTACCATAAAATCTATTTTATCCAGGGCATGATACGTAATAAAAAATCTGATATACCGAAATTTTTAGAGTGGAATTACCTTAAAATTACAGAATCACTCTAACTAAATAAATATTACTAAACAAATTATGATATTATATGAATTTTACATCAAATTAACGATATTACATCAAAACTGGATTTCACAGAGGATGCACTCAAAGTATCGATACTTCATATCATATTTTATACTGGGATTTTTTACAGTGCATTGAAAGATCACTGTAAAGGACCTCATTAAACATAAATTGAAATGAACTGAGAAAAATGAAAGCTAGCTAAAATAAGTTCAAATAAAGAGTATAAATTAAATTAAAACAAGATTCAGAGTAATGATGAGGATAATTTCCATTGTTAATTAAAACCCCATCTGTTTTATTTTCCATAGCATTCAATACGTATTGAAAAGTATATAAACTGCGAAACAGCAATAAAACATCATTAAATGCAATGAAGTACGCGACAAAAAAAAATCAGATTTTTACATACTTGGTATTTTTGCATTAATACGCTGCTCATTGCGAATTTTCTTGTTCCAAATTCAATTTTATTTGTTAAGTTCTTTCTCAAATTCTATTATGGACTTCGTAGAATTAGAAAAAGGAAAGAAAAAGTTGTCAAGCCACTTTTCACTAAATTAATCTTAAAGCAATTGTTTTTTTTCTTCTATAATACGGCAAAGCACAGCTAGGTAAGAGAAAAGCTCAACTGTACAAAAATAAATTTGTTAAATGAAAGAAAACAAAGTCACTAAAAATAAGTCTAAGGAAATTCAAATCAAAACTTTACTGATTGATAGCTTTATTTGCTCAGTGAAAAGGCATAACAAGGGGGGCTGTAAATTTGTATGTCACCGAACTTTTGATTTTGAAATTGTGCCATGACCTTGATGTATGTCACTGTTATAATTCCCCAGTTATACTCCGCTATTTAAAACACTTGTATAAGGGCAGGTCCACTGCAATAAATCAAAAGTAAATTCAGGTTGATTAAAAAAATTTCCATCGTTTTCTAATAAGTCTAAGGACGCATGAATGGACTACAGTAAGCCTAAAAAATATCAGACTTTCTGGAAAATGTTGGAAATGCTCCCAATCAACCTAACGCATTTTAAAACGCCAACGACAGATATAAATTGTCAGATGTTCCAATTCAAATGCAACACACCCATCATAGGAGCAAAGTATATCTTAAATTCAACTATTAAGAGTTCGAATATTGAAATTTTTTCCCAAACATATTGTTTCCAGCTAGTATCAGAAGTAACTTTTGAGACTTTGTTCAGTTTCACAATAGTATGCCCATTAGTGGGCATGCTATTATATATGATGTGTAAGTAGTTTTAAATTTAATTTCGTAATTTTCCAGAATGATTATGTGTTGACTGTTGAAATTTACTATTTAAAATTATGAATTCGACAATTACAATCTGGAAAAGCAAAATTCCGATAACCTTTAATTTTTAGAGTGATGATGAACCGTTGTGTTCAATGATTTACTACGTCATTGTAGACTTCGATAATTTACTTTAATTGTTTTTATATCCAAATGTAAAATATATTTAAAAAACATAATTATGAGATTTTTATAATTTTTTATATTTTGATATATTTCCTAAAAAAAGTTTTTTTTTTTTTACTTTTTAATGTAAATTTTCAATTTATGTTTTTAGAATGTATAGACATGTTAAAGTATTGAGTTCGTTTTTATCCAAGAAATATACTGTAGAAGTCAAAGTTTTAGCTTTTTATTGATCAACTAATTGTGGTAAATCCAAATTTTCAAAAACGTATCATTTCAGCTGATTCGAAGGAAGCCTACAGCTGATTCACATTCAGATTATTTTTCGTTTGCAACATTAGGAGAAATTTGAAATTATAGTTTTTAAATGTAAAAAATTACTATATTTAAGATAATTAAGCAACAAATATGCATAGAAAAATTTAATAAGAGTGAAATTAAAACAAAAATTTGTTATTATTTGCTAATTTATTTCTGCAATATTTAACCCTCCAGAAATTTTCTTAAAATTTGGAGAAACGCCCAGCTCCCGTTTTTGAAAAAATAGCCAGGTGTAATGAACTCCAGTAATATTAGTAGAGTTGACCGTTAATCTCAAGCGGTTGTTTTATAAAATTTCCAAACTTGGTTAAAAATTATACGCCAATTTTCTGTGGAGGTTACACACAAGTCTCGAGTCCAAACACAACCGGTGGCACAGTTCTTCAATCTCGCCTTTTATCTGCATTTTATCTGACAAACAAATCGCAAGAGCCTCAAACGCAAAGGCTTAAGTTGAAGATAACTTTTATAAGCATAACGTTACTTTGGCGGTCAGTAGCCCTATATTATACTATTAAAAATGTACTGGTAGAGCTGTGATTTTATGGTAATAATAGCTTTACGGATATAAAAAAGCATTTACGATCAGTGATTATTGAAATATTTTTGTCGTTTATGACCGTTATTAGAGTTTGAAGGGCTATTTGTCTTTTTGACATAATTTTTACTTTAATGAATCTCTTGAATGAGTCTTTATTAATAATTTCGCTTTCTTTCTGATATAGTTTTTGCTAGTTTTTTTTAATGGTTTACTCAAATAGTTTTTTTCTATTTTAGCAAAGATCCTCTTAAAATAATGATAACTTAGTTTAATTTAAATTAATCGCGCGTTTTATAGATTATCTTTAATGAAAAAAATGCTTCGTGAACGTGCGACAATCCTTTGTAAGTACGTATTTAATATAAAACTAAGAACATTATTTCCTTTCTACAAACATTTAAATGTGTAGGTTTATAAAAATCTGATGTTTGAAAATATCACATACAGTATTTAAAGAGCTTGTAAAAGATAACTGGTTTTAACATAATTTAAAAAATAAATAAATTTGAGGTAAATTTAAATCAAATGCCTATTTTTGTTAGATTTGATAACACAATTTCCTGGCATGATTTCTAAATATTTGTAAGGAACTTTGAAAGTTCGTTACAAATATTTAAAATTTTATTTCTTCTTTTTTAAGGATAAAAATATCAATAGTTTTGTTTTTTCTAGAAACAATCAGTTAACAAAAATTTCAATAATAAAATTTTAAGAATATCTTCAGTGGTTGATGGATTATGAGTTAGAGTTCTCTTTCAGTCATGTTAACCGTGACTTATTTTAGTGGTTTTATTCTCCATGTAAAGCAAATGAGGGTGAGTTCCATCAAAAAGTCTTCCGCGAAAGCAAATTTCGCCCTCATTCAAATTCGATATGAGAGTTTCCTTGTCTTCTGGATTGGGTTTGACATTAAGAGACTACGGCGTCGAACATCGGTAGTTGTAAACCTGAATTCAGGTCAACTATTCAATGACAGTTATAAAATATTAAAATTTAACTTCATATATATATAAATTACTTAAATTTTGCGATTGAATTTCTACCATTGAATTTAACTATTTTATGAAAGCTGTTTTATAAAAGAAACAAAAATAATGTTATAACATGTCACAAAGAATGTTATAACATGAAATTGGAAACGGAATATGGAAAAATAATAATTTTGTAGCTAACACAATGTATTTAGTTTTATTCATTTCAGTTAAAAGAAATGATGTATAAAAGTGGAGAAGTATAGTTCACCAAAATCAAAACTAGTTATTTCTTTAAAATTGTTAGTGAAAGACTTCTCGGAACTGCTCCATTGAATGAGGGCAAAAAAAGAAAGAACTCTCTTGAGGAACAAACCATCATACAATAGTTCTTCAAAAAGTCAATAAGGAGCTACCGCGAAATACAATAACATTCTTCTTGAGAATCCGCAAAAAGGGACGTTACAATAAAACAGTAACCGAAATGAAACCCGTTTTTGACTCCAGGACATACCGTTTAAAACCGTTTTTCCAATCAAACCATCTGCTGTTACAAGCTTCCCCTCAAAGAAGAACAAATGAAGGAATGGATGGACAACCTAAGAAGAAAAAAAAATGTTCTCTCCTGGTGGGCAATCTCTAGCAAAACGAGAATAAGATGAAGAAGAAAGAGAATCAAAAGAAGAATGAAGTTTTATTGTTCCTGACAGAAGCAAACGTTAAGAAGTATTTACGAGCATGAGATTATATGGCGTTGCTTTTGTTTTGAGAGTAACAGGGGGGTGGCTGGAAGTTTTGGAAGAGAGTTAAAGGGTGGGGAGGCGGAAAGAGAAGTTTATGAAACGCTCCTGGTCGGCTACCAAAAAATGTACTACGATTCGCTTGAGCGAATTTTACTCGTAATTTTTGGAGGATGTAAGGCAGAAAATATGAATTCTTCGAGGCTTAAGAATTGAGAGTAGTGTAAGAAGTATGGCTTCCATTTGGAAGAAAGTGCTCGAAGAAATTGTTACATGCATTATTACTTTTAAAATCGAATATGAACGATTCGAAGGAGAAGAATAGCGTAGCAGTTCTTAAAAAAGCCATGCATAACATGTATATACAGAGAGAAAGAAAACATGGAAAAATATAAAAGAAAATTTAAAATAAAAATAATATAAAAGTAAAATATTTTTATCATTTTACGAACTTTAATTATTTACAAAAAAATTTAGAACATTAAATATCTGGAAAATGAAAATTTATAATCTCGCCATCAACTCACACAATTAGATCCACGGGTTATAATTGTGTAATTATATA